TATATAAGACTGCATATGCGGCTCTATAAATGTATTTGCCAGCTCTTCGACAGTGGGTTGTAAAAGTTTAGCAACTGTTGAAGGCATATTTAATGTATGCAAAGTGTGATTATATAGAGAGAGATAAGAAAATAAAGAAAGAAGACAGATTTCAATCTATAAGTGACTGCATATTAACGCTTTGGGCTTCTTTTATAAGTAGAGAGTATCTATTTGAGATCTTAAAATTTATTCTTTGATCCTTAACAGTCTTAATTTAGAAATATCTCAAATTCGAATCCAAATTCGGCTTACGTTAAATTGAACTTTTCAAAAATTCCAATTTGTATTTCATTTTTATTTGTTCCACTCAAGTGTACAAATCAGCTCAATTTCAGTATATTTATATAGACAACGAATAGATCTAAGTTGATAAATGTAGAACAGCATTCAATTAAAAATAAATTTACACGAACTTTCAAAAGTTCCTTAAAATAAGAAACAATTTTATTTAAGTTATATTTATGCTACTCTAGCTTGGAAGTCAGATCAATTTCATTATATTTGTTTGTTAGCTCATTTTATAACTCCACATATGATTTTGGACACAATACCCAACAACAAAAAACTAGAAATAAAATTTAAGCGACTCATTGTTGTCGCAGTTGTAGATGTTCATTTGTATTATTACACAAGAACAACAAAGGCAACAGCAACAACATCAACTAGAAATTGGTGCACTGTGTGTTGGCTGTCGTTTTTATTTGCATTTTGATTGCTGTTGCTCGTTCGCTCTAAGTGAGTTTTTCTTTATATATTTCAAGTGCCTCCCTTTCAATAATTTTCTTTTATTTATTTTTTTTTTGCTGGCGCACAAATGTATGCAACACATTTTGTATGCAATGGCCGCAGAAAATCTGCACGAAACGCCAACAGCAGGGTTAAGAAGGGTGTGAGTAGGAAGGTGAAAAGTGGAGTAAGGGTAGCTCGTTGCCACTTCCGTGCTATGGCTGGACGGAAATGGCGGCGTCAGGTCGCCAGACCAACAAACGACACCGACACCAAAAACTGTAATCCGAAGCGATGCCAGAAACACATGCAGCTGGCCAATTGAATAACCAGCAGCAGCAGAAAGTGTGTGTGTATGTTGGAGTGTGTGTGTGTGTGTGCATACTTGGTGTAGCTCTGCTTTCAAGTGCCGCCACTCAACTAGCACTTATTGCATGCGACAAAGGACAAACGACAGCAGCAGCAGCAGCAGCAGCAGCAGCAGCAGTAACTGCAGTAAGCAGTCAGCAGGACGCAGGACGAGTGCGAGGAGAAGCCAACAGTCGCGTCCTGTTCCGGATGCGGTCGCAACTTTTTGTCGTTTTCAATTTTAATTCCTTTTTTTTTTGGTTAGCAGATTTTTTTTTTCTGCCGTATTACTGTCAACCGGAGCGTAGTCATAGCCATAGATATGGCCACAACCATAACCCAGAGTCAGCAGCTTGCGCGACACACTTAAAGCAGTTAGCTCGATGACCATCATCGACATATATCATGCTGTTGTATAGAGAAAAATTCTGCTTACTGGCAGTCGCGACTTAAAGGGATTTCCTAGGGGTTATCTGAAAGAAGGAAAGTATATTAGTGATTTATTTGATGGCTTACAAAGCTTAACTTGTTATTATTATTACTATTGGGGGTAGCTTTATGTACTGCAACATATTAAATTTATAGTGTGTGCCTTCCTGAGCCTACACTTCTTCCATCCCCCATGCCAATCCTGTTTAAGGGTTTCTGTGTCTTCCGAGTTGATCATAAGTTGTCATATGAGACTAAATCAGATGTAGTTGTAAATCTTTCAAAAATTTATTATAATTGCTGGTTTTTTGCAACACTTAGCTCATTAACAACGATGCTTAACACTTGCAGCCATAATATTCCCAACTAGCTGATAAGTTTCAAATCTTAAGCTGGCTTCTGTCAATCAATAAATGTAGCATTTTCTTTAAAAATCGTATATTAAGTAAATAATCAACATTAACCTACTTAAAGTCAGCTGGAAAACTTGTTTAAGTTCAAAATTACAAAGATTTTTGTTTTCTTTACTCAACTTTTGCTCAACGCTTTTTGTATTTTTGTATTGTTCCAGCTCTCTGTAATTAAAAATCTTAAGCACAGCAATATTATTGTTAGTTACTTTTACTAACACCTTTATGCATACATTTCGTTTGATATCAGTTTTTGCAGTTCACAGTTGGAATAGTTGTTGTTCTTTTATTTTCTTTTAACAGTGGCCACGCCTTTGGCTGCAGCTTACTTTTGGTCATTTGCTGCACATGCTGCCCGAATGCGAAATGCTGATTGTATGTGTGTAAAGAGAGAGAGAGAGAGAGAGAGAGAGCGAGCGAGCGACTGTGGAGCATGTCACGTAATTGTTAAGGCAAATGGCAGTAGCAGCAGCAGCAGCAGCAGCATTTCAAATGGCGCACATCACGTATAAGTAATATGCGCGTTACGTATACGCAGCATATGCAGCTGTGGAATGCGAATGGCTGACTGGCTCCGGCTGCCTAAGCAGCACGAGAAGGCAAGATTACTGCAGTTTCGGACAAGGACTCGAGCTGGGTCTCACCTGGATTGCAGTTATTATGGCCATAACCATAACTGTTATCTGATTTCTTTTGCTGGCCCTGTTTTTTTTTTTTTGCTGTTGTTGCTTTTGTACAGCTGCCGCTGACTGGTGTCTGCCCCGAAAAACCGTGTTCGACCGCCTTTGGGGAAATTGTTTTTGTGCTTTCTACAGTTTTCCTTCTCTTTTCTCTTTTTTTGTTGAGTGCTGCTCATAATTTAATATTTACAAAGTAGAGCACACAGCGTCGAGGAAAACTGCAAAATAATAAAACGAAATTACCAGCGACAGCACACCAGAGAGGGCGAAAGAGACAGTAGACAGTAGTAGAGGGGAGGAGGGAGGGACAACGAATGTCCTGTAAATGAAAATCTGTGCTCACTAGGCGTTGCATTAAAAAACGCTTAGAGCAGCAACTTTTGTCGCCTGTCGCCTGCCTGGCGCTCCAATATTGCAGTCGTCGACTGCTGCTCGCTGCCTGCCTGGCTGCCTGCCTGCTGGTCAGTGTCCTGTTTGGATGTCCTGACCAGCAGCAGCAGTCAGCCCCTGGTGCCGCATTGTTCATTGACAGTTTTTTATTTCTCTTATTTTTCCTTTTTTTTTTTTGGGTAGTATGAGAAGGTCCTGTGACTCTGTCGTGCATTTCAGAAATTTGTTTGTTTTTAATTAATTGCACGCGGCGGCGCTGAAGTAAAATTTCATCCCTTATCCCTGCCCCTGCCGCTGCTGCTGCTGCCGTTTTCCTTTCAGCTTTCCACATGTGCTTCAGCTGCGTGCTGTGCTGTGATTAAGCCCGTTGAATGGATCCGAATGTGGTCCGCGATGTGTGGTCTTGAATAGCGTGCCAGGATATTTAGATAAGGTCCTTAGTGCGTGTTTGATGGGCGTGGCTTGTTAGCGACCTGTAGTAGTAGTAGTAGCAGCAGCAGCAGGCAACTAAGTAATATAACTTTAATTTCGATTAATTTGTCCTACTAAAGTATAAAAAGTATATAAAACATGTTCACAGACAGACAGACAGACAGACACACAATTACCAACACCATTAAATGACAGCAAAAGTTGAAATCAGACTCTCTCCGTCTGTCTCTCTGGCTGTGTGTGAGTGTGTGTGTGTGTGTGTGCGGCAATAACCATTTCCTGGGCGAAAATAAAAAACCCTTTTGGGGTTGACAGCACAATTTGCATAAATTTTAAATTTCAATTTGCAAGCGAAAACTGAACTGGAAATGAAATGAAAGCAAAAAAAAGTTCTCCAAGTGAATAAAAATAAGTAAGGAAGTGAAGCAAAAAAAAAAAATAAATAAATAAAGACGAAAAAAAATGACAAGCAACGAAATTAGCAGACAACAAAGGCAACAAAATGTGGAAAAGAGCAAGTAGGTAAAGCAAGGGAAACCCTTTTTCTTACTGCCGAAAGACTAACGCACTTTTTTTTCATTGCTGCGAGGTTTGAATTTTGGATGGTAGCGATTGGGTCAGCAGCTAGTTGACTGTTGGTGCTGCCTTCTGGCTTATGCTCTCTAACTAGAGCCAACTCTCACACGCTCCCTATCTCTGTCTCTCGTTATCTTTCTCTCTCTAGCTGCTCTGTTTGCTGTCCTTCTGGCACTGTGGCTCGTCTTACAAATTCTTACACATCCGCAGCGTCATGTGTGGTTGTGTATTTATGTGTGTGTTCTGCTCCTGCTGCTGCTGCTGCTGTAACGGAACAGGAAACAACTGGCATTGGCAGCCATACGACGTTAAGGATAATCGTGATGACAGCATATTTGGCTATGCCCCCCCAAAAAATCACAAAACTTAAGCCCCCCAGACTCAAAATCAAACGACAAGTTTTTCCCTTATCCATTTTGTGTCAGTTTTGTTTTCGTTAAAACGACATTAAAATGGTCAAATGAGTTTAGAACGCCTGCTTAAGCATCACTTTGATCCCTCGCATTCCTTACACACACACACACACACACACATCCACACACAAAAAGGATATTGAGAAGCCAGCAAAAGTAAAACCAAAGAAAAAAACACAAATCACAATACAAAATGTGGAAAGAAAATGTTCTCTGCACGTCTTTGGGACATTTAATAACGTTTACAGCTTTAGTTTCGGTTCCAGTTTTGTCTCTTACAAGTGGGCGTGGCAATTTCCTAGAAGGATTTTGCTTGTTTTTCAAATTTTACTCACTTGTCCACCTCCTTGTCTTTTTTTCGTTTTCTCTTTCTTCAAGTTTGCGGTTTGCATTTTGATAAATGTGATTTTTATGCTGATTTGAGGCACAGAGCAAAAAGCATACGAACCTTGACAGCAAAAGATGGAACGAGTTGAAGTTCGCTTCTTGGGTTTATTAGAAAACCAAATACTTGACATCATATTTCTTTACAACCATTTTTCTTTCTCTTACAGCCGCTGTTCGAGCTGACGACGCACTTTTGAAGAGGGGGAGACCTCATGTCGGACAATCGAAATGAGGTAAGTTTATCGGTGAAGAAGAAAAATATGAGCACCAAATATTGGCCTAAAATTGTTTATACTGAAATATTTTAGTGAAGAACCATAACTTTGTCAAAGCCGTTTCTTAAAACTCAATGCTTTTTATGCATGATTTGACTTCAAGAAAAGTTCTACATTTAAATTTGAAGAGCGACTTTAACTCGACTGTAATATAACATAAACATAACAAAAGTGATGCGATTTTCAAAAACCTTGACTGGTTCGATCTCTAGATTAATACTTCATTTAAAGTTGAAAATGGTATTACGGTTTGATTTTCATATTAAAAATAAACTCTTAAAAGTTGCATACAATTTCGAAATATTCTAAGTTAATAGCAAATTTTACTTACTTACACTTTAAGAATTAAAGAGTTTGCATGCCCTACAGATAACATAAATTTTAACCATATTTGAGTTCGTATTGGGTGTTTCTGCTGCTGTTGTGCGCCTGCTTATGATAATGTGGTCAAGTTTTTCCTTGGCCACCGCTGCGTATACGCAACGTTGCTAGGGCAAAATTACAACAGCAGCGTTTTCTTTGGGCCGCATTAATTGAACGCTGCTTATTTATGGCTGGTAATTTAAATGCGGCCAAGTGGCTTTCTCCCCCACCCCCCGCCCTCTTCTCTCGCTCACTATGCACGTAAGGGGCGTGGCTCGTAGGTATGGGAAAGCGTGCGCTATAAATTGTGAAGTTCTCGTTGGTTTTTGCTGTTATTTCTCTTTTTTATCATCAACATGAGCAAGAACATGAATAATAATGCATGCACATTATTCCAGTGCTCATTTGCGTGCCTTGTGGAGAAGCACACACTCACTCACACACACGCACACACACAGAGTCGCACAATTGAAGCGGAAGTGCGCATTGTTTCCGCTTTTAATAAGGGCCGTTGTTGTTCTGCAGCCAATTGTAAATGCATTATTGAGTTAAGCCAATCCTCGACCAACAACAGCCCATAAATTGCATTAAATTGCATTTAAATGTGTGTCGGACAGGTTAACAATACCATGCACAACAGTCACACACACTCGCACACACGGAGATAGCACGAGTCCTGCTTGTTATAATTGATTGTAAACTGGAGAGGCCCTTTAAGCCAAACCCAAAGTTCAGCCAACAAATTATTTGCCAAGAAGTCGCCTGACTCGGCTCTATTCTGCTATTCGGCTGCCATTTTCACGCTCCTCTCGCTACTTGAGTTTTTGGTTTGGTTTTAAGTTTCGCATGCAAATTCCGACAAATTCCGAAAATTCTCAAATTGCAAAGTTATGCTTATGAGCATGAAATGGCTAAGCCGTAAAAACTTTTTTGCGCTCGCTTTTGCTCTCTCTCTCTCACTCTCTCTTAAGATTTTTGTAGACCCTCCAGGGACCACCCAGCACGCTAGCAAGGCGACAAAAACTTCAACTTTAGCTTGCAATTTGCGCTTGGCCAACATCGCCTAAAGGGGCTGGTCCTCTTTTTGGCCAGAAAGTACGCGCAGCTAGAAAGTTGGATGTCTGCACTTGGCAGTCCAGTGCCATGGCAAAGATAAGTAAATATTACCCTCAAAGAAGCAAATGTAGTTGCTGTTCTCATAAAATTCAAATACTCGTTAAGTAAACAAAGTAGTGTGAATTACCCTACAAGAAATAAATGCAAATACAGATATATTATATATTTTGAATATTTATTATATATTTTGAAATTGGATAAATACCAATTGTGGCTATAATAAATGCAAATAGAGATTGGACAACCAAAATACACAAAATACAAAATACGAGAAATATGAAATTATTATTACAATTATTACCATAAATGTGTAGAACAATTTTATTATTACTAGAAAACTTGACTACTTTTTATTAGCTAGTTTAGCAGCTTCTATTCTTCTGTTAGACCCCAGTCAGGTAAACAGGGTATTAAGCATATTGCAATTAACAAGCACTCGTTACCAGCACCTCTTCGTGCTGTCAGGACCGACTTTGTTGTGAATGTTTTATGCCATGTATAAGTTATGGCATGCGAATCGTCAATTAAACAAATTCAGCATACATTAATTGTGCCGAAAAGTTTTCGTCATGCGTGTTGCTAACAGCTCCAAAAAGCGAAAAAAAAAACAGAACAAAAAACAGAATAAAACCGAAGTAATCCAGTTTGGTGCAAATTTTGCAGCCATTTGTAATGGCCAGCAGCTGCCATGTCGTATACTTAATTTTTTTGCAGCTTTTATATATATTTGTGTATACATATGCATATGTGGATTTGCACACAGTTGGACCTGACGATGATATATGACTGTTTGCCAACGTCATGTGTGTGTGTGGCAAGTGTGGCATGTGGCAGTCCCAGCGGTAGGTCCTGGCTGGTGGCTCTGCCACTGCCTCAGCTACTGTTTCTGCTGCTTCTTTAAGCTTTTGTTCATCCACTTAATTAGCATTTTGCGTTGGATTGCTCGCTTTTGTTTTGCTCGACTCGCCTGGCTGTGCTGTGCTGTGCTGTGCTGAGCTGCGTTGGTCGAGTACCAGCGCGTGTCTATCGATGCGTGCTAATTGCAAACGCTTCACACGCCGCACACCGCACACTGCACACCCTAACCTGCCTGTCTGCTGCTGCTGCTTCAATTTTCAATCCTTGACTGCATTAGGTGGTGCTATCAAGAGTGCATAGAATGAAACTTTTGCGTACTACTTTCAAGCACAATGCTCAAGCTACTTCTCCTGCTCACTCGCTCTTCCACACACACACACTCTCTCTCTCTCTCTCCCTCTTGCTCTCTCTCTCCTTGGCTGTGCATAACAAGGATATCCGTTTCGAGTGCAGTCTTTGCCTCTCAAATTCTTATGAACATCGAGCAAGGCACTCTTGCAGTTTACTTGAGTGCCTGCCAGGATACCAAGTCCGAATGCGCCTTTCTTTTTTTTTTTATGTATGTGCGTGTGTGTGTGCGTGTGTGTCTATTGGCTTCGAGTGTTTGCGGCTCAAGTGCGTTGTGGCTGGTTGGGTGTCGGGTGGCAATGTCTCAATTGTCGATTGCAGTTGCTCAGCTTATAAACGCTTATTAAGTTACTGTACAGCGCCCTCTTTTTTCAGTCTTCTTTATAATTAAGTTTTAAGAACGATTTTCAATGCTTGATTGATTGTTTGATCGATGGCTTATAGCTGATTGACTTTTGAAAATCTTTTCAATTATCAATTTCCTGATTGAAACGAATATATTTAAGAAAAGTGTAAACAGTTTAAACTCCGATTTTCTAATCAAACAATCAAGTCTAAATCCATTTAATTATCAATCATCATCAAGTACAGCAAAAGTTCAGCACTATAGTAAATATATATTTCTTCAATACCAGCACATTTAATAGAGATTACTTAAATTGTTGAGGAAACCCCTCGAGTTTTTCCCTGATACACTTAGTCTTGGCTTGTGGTCAATTAGCTTCGACTTATGCTACTGGTCATGCACAGTAGAAAAAATGCTCAGCTCTTCAGCAATTTGTGAGGATTTAGCTTAGAGTTTTGCTGTGCGCTTCATCAGCAAAGCACAATGGAACCAATGGAAAAAATGATGGTCTTATAGATGCTTGGGTCGAAAAAAAACTCAACCACAGAGACACAGTCAATAAAAAACGTAGCTAACCCACTGACAGCACCTATCAAAACGTTCAATCAATCAATCAACTGTTGCCAGCAACTAAACTTCACAAAAGGCAGTCAAGAGACGCAAAAAATACAAAAAGAAAAAATGCCAAGCAACAGCACAAAAAATATCACTCATCCGCCCCATTTGTGCAAAAAACACACACATAAAATCCACGTAAATCAGCTTAGGAGTAGCACCAAAAATAAAAAAAGAAATATGGAAGCAAAAGGAAAAATAGGATCTAAAAGCACAGCGGCTACAACTAAAACGTTATAATCAAAAAAACACACACACATAGATATATATATATATATATATATATATATGTATGTGGACACAAATAGGTTATGTGCCCGCATTGATACTAAAGGACATATGGCAGGACATGTTCATAGCGAAACATAAAAAGGAAATACAGTCGGAATTTCTATTTGTGTGTGTGGCGGGTATTTTTTTTTGCTTCTCTTCGACTCTGTGTCACTCTCCCCTCTGTTGACTGACCCAAAGACCTATGCGCCCATTTTTAGGTCGGAAATAACAAGGCAACAGCAGCAACGACGCTTGGCCAACAAATCAGCGCAAATCACACTAACAAAAGCCAACAACTACATTTTCTGGTTGTGTTTTTTTTTGATGTTGTTTTGTTTTGTTGTTCCTTTTTTTATGTTGTTACGTCTGGCTGCTAGTATTCGTTTGTCAAACTGTCGTCAGGCGCAGGACTTCACCTGGCTTTGACAAGCCGCTTGTCAGTTGGACAGTTACTCAGTTCATCACACAGCCACATGTCAACAGAATAGGCGGCGTGGCCACGCCTCGTCTCCATTTTAGAAACGATAACTGTGCAGCTTGTTTGAAGTTAGCTGAGAAAACAAAGTATTGAAAATATTATATCCATATTTTGCAGTCAACGAAATTCGAAAACATCCATTTCAGACTTTTAATAAGTTTCCTCATAGAAAGTATTTTAAATGATAATTTATACAGGAACTTATGAATTTATATAACTAAACTATTCTTTATAGTTTCTTTAAGATAAGAGATCAATTTGATACAAGGCACAATATATTAGATTTTAAGTGCTTAAAATATTTCTATTGCCACAGCGTTTTTTCTTTTTATCTTCAAAACTTTCTGAAAGCATGACGACGCATCTAATAAAGCAATTTAAAGAAGTTGAAAAATACATTTTTGGAAGCATGAAAAATGTTAAATGGAAAATGAGACAAGCTGCAATGAAGCACGAGTCATGAGAAGCGACGCCATCTTGCACATGCATACATTAAATACACACACGCACGCACACTCTCGCACACACAAAATTCGCAAATTCGCAGATACTTTTTGAGGC